TGTTAAATGGTTTCTGTAAAATACAGGTATCCACGGTGTTATATGGTTTCTGTAAAATACAGGTATCTACGGTGTTATATGGTTTCCATAAAATACAGGTATCTACGTCGTAATATGGTTTCTGTAAAATACAGGTATCTACGGTGTTATATGGTTTCTGTAAAATACAGGTATCTACGGTGTTATATGGTTTCTGTAAAATACAGGTATCTACGGTGTTATATGGTTTCCGTAAAATAGTTTCTGTATACAGGTGTCTACGTCGTTTAATATGGTTTCCATAAAATACAGGTATCCAACGCATGTTATATGGTTTCACTGTAAAATACAGGTCTCTCCGGTCTCTATATGTTCTCTCTGCCTACTCTTTCTGTCTCTGCCTCTCTCTGTTCTCTGCTCCCTCTGGTATCTCTCTCTGTCTCTGGTGTTATATCTCTGGTTTCTCTCTGCCTCCGTCTCTCTCTGTAATCTCTGTGTCTCTCTCTCTCTGTCTCTCTCTCTGTGTCTCTCTCTGCCTCTCTCTCTGTCTCCGTCTGTCTCTGCCTCTGTCTCTCTGCCTCTGTCTCTCTTTGTTTCTGCCTCTGTCTCTCTCTGTCTCTGCCTCTGTCTCTCTCTGCCTCTGTCTCTCTCTGTCTCTCTCTGCCTCTGTCTCTCTTTGTCCGTCTCTCTCTGTTTCTAAACTCTCTCTGTCATCTCTGGTTCTCTCTATCCTGCCTCTGTCTCTCTGTCTCTCTGCCTGACTCTGCTCAATCTGTCTCTCTCTGTTCTGCTAATCTTTCTCTAGTATCTCTGTCTCTCTACATCTCTCTCTCTGTCTCTCTGTACTCTCTGATAGTGTCTCTGCTCTGTCTGTCTCTGGTAACTGTCTCTCTCTCTCTGCTCTCTCTGCACTGCCTAAATGCTCTCTCTTCTCACTGTCTCTCTGCCTCTCTGCCTCTGTCTCTCTCTGTGTCTCTGCCTCTCTCTGTCTCTGTCTCTGCCTCTCTCTCTGTCTCTCTCTGTCTCTGCCTCTGTCTCTCTCTCTCTCTGCCTCTGTCTCTGTCTGTCTCTGTCTCTGCCTCTGTCTCTCTCTGTCTCTGCCTCTGTCTCTCTGTCTCTCTCTGCCTCTGTCTCTGTCTGTCTCTCTGTCTCTCTCTCTCTCTCTGTCTGTCTCTCTCTCTGTCTCTCTCTCTCTCTCTCTCTCTCTCTCTCTCTCTCTCTCTCTCTCTCTGTCTCTGTCTCTCTCTCTCTCTCTCTCTCTCTCTGTCTCTCTCTCTCTCTCTCTCTGTCTCTCTCTCTCCTCTCTCCCCCTCTTTCTCTGTCTCTCCCTCTTTTTCTCTGTCTCTCTCTGTCTCTCCCTGCCTCTGTCTCTCTCTGCCTCCGTCTCTCTCTGTTTCTGCCTCTGTCTCTCTCTGTCTCTGCCTCTGTCTCTCTCTGCCTCTGTCTATCTTTCTGTCTATCGACCGAAAGACAGTTTCTATATTTTCAAGAACATACTGGAACGCATGCTTCTTGTCATTTTATGTACATTGCAGAAATGTAATTTCGTCATGGAAAAAAGAATCTTGTAGAGAGTGGACGTATGAAGTAATCAGCTCTTGAGTTCGGAGTAAACTCAACCCGTTGTGAAATTTCTATGAGCCGAAGCTACGAGTAAAAAATTATACCCCTGCATCTTTTATTATTATTTGTAATGTCTTTCACATCCATATGTGGTATTGCTGAACTTTCTAGTGGTCACGGCGCCTACTGTTACAGGAGCTCCATTTCTCCACTTGTCTCTCTAAAGCAATAATCTACCACGTAGCTTCAGGGAATTTTCCATCACTATAAAATTATCAGCAAAATATCCTCGAAACTTTCAAAGCACAACAAAATATTTACGAAAAATAAATTAAATCATCTATCATCCTCGCACGGTTCTGTACCCTCTTTGTAAATGAAAATGTCAAACTTTTACAGAGTAGCCACATCTAAATCTTATTAGTTATAGAATGCTATGTTACATTATAAAGGATCAGTCGGATTTCCAGTCATGTGAATGCGTCAGATACTGTATCTGTTTGTCGTCGAACCCCAGACCTCCACGTCATCCATCATTTCCGGTTAATACTGGACAGTCGCTTGCTGTCTTTTCTCTGGTATGTGGTATCGTAGATAGAACGATTTGTCATTCAAAATTACAATGTCTCAGAGATAAAGAAAGGGTTATTGACAAGTGTCCGTGTGTGTGATATGACCTCAGACTGTGAATATCGTTGGTTTGTTTCACACTTGTGAAAAAGCGTGTCGGACAAAGCGCACCAGGAATATGCTTATTAACTTGTATCAAATGCTTGTAAAATCAATCTAATGAGAAAGTAAAATTTCTTTTCTATATTCTAAAATGTGTCCGATGTTTTATTTATAATTTCCATGTTTGCAGCCCGGTACGTTTTTGAGGTCCCGGATGGATGCAATTTTTGCATAATGCATTAGAATAGAAGTTCTTAAAACGCAGCCAGTCGTACACGGTTGGTTACCTTCATCACACACATGACCAGCAAAGCGTAGCCGAATTAACTACAGAACATTGTTACCATCTTGTGTATTTGTTGGTCTATAATCTGTTTACCATCTCGTCACACTATTTTCAACCTGAGTGTACTTAGGATTAAAGTACAGTCGAAAAGGCTGGCCGGCTCCTTACTGTCTGGTAAACTACGTACGTCAGTGCTAGTACGGTCCACACTGGTCATTTGTCCGATGTGTGGTCATCGAAACGTCACACTCTAATCTTCTACTGGTTGTGTTATAAGAAATTCTATTCTATTGACATTACGAGCCTGAAGAAAAAAAATCCGAAATAAGTGTTTTATTATGAAACATATACTGTATTTTTATCATACTCATATATAATGCCGTGTCATTGCCTGTCGGTTGTGGGATTAAATTTATTTACCTATCAAAATTACAAAATGTTATAATTTCTGACTATATGTTAATACAGCGATTTAAAATGTTGTTTTTTGAGGAAAAATTGATTGCGATTCAACATATTTGTTAAGTGAACAAGCTGACGTTAGCATGTATTTTTCATTCAGTTCTTGTATCGAAGTAGCTGGTATTTGATACTGGAAGACATTTGAAAGATATTGTTCTATGGAGACTTAAATGGCATTCACGACATGATACATAGAGACGTTACTCTGGGTACCTGAGCGATAGTGACACAGTGTAAGACTGCATGGGTGTGATGAAGATTCCACAATACATCAGAAAATGAATTACAACTTTCAATACCTTGATAATTAGATAGATTTTAAGCCTAATTATAATAGATAAGACGGCATCACATGACTGTTTCATCCTTAGGGGAATCGTCAGCGGCGCTAAGTTCCTCAAACTGAGTAGGCGACAGCAAAATAAATATATATAAACCTAGATAGGCAGGTGCACTAAAACTAAATGTAATAAAGTGCGTTATTTTCGGTGATGGTTCGTGCCAAATTTTTCTGTAATCTGAACGTAAGGTTATAATTAGTACACAATGATGTTATTGGTATCCTTGGTGATATTGGGAAAGACTTTATAACAATTTGTAATATAATATTACAGTGATGTCAGATTTTATCATACTTGTACTGCTATCAAAATCATACAACGTTATAACATTGCAGCGATGTGCTGACGTCATTATTACAGGTAATATAACATTACAGCGATATTCTAACGTCATTATTACAGGTAATATAACATTACAGCGATGTGCTGACGTCATTATTACAGGTAATATAACATTACAGCGATGTGCTGACGTCATTATTACAGGTAATATAACATTACAGCGATGTGCTGACGTCTTTGTTACAGGTAATATAACATTACAGCGATGTGCTGACGTCATTATTACAGGTAATATAACATTACAGCGATGTGCTGACGTCTTTGTAACAGGTAATATAACATTACAGCGATGTGCTGACGTCATTATTACAGGTAATATAACATTACAGCGATGTGCTGACGTCTTTGTAACAGGTAATATAACATTACAGCGATGTGCTGACGTCATTATTACAGGTAATATAACATTACAGCGATGTGCTGACGTCTTTGTAACAGGTAATATAACATTACAGCGATGTGCTGACGTCATTATTACAGGTAATATAACATTACAGCGATGTGCTGACGTCATTATTACAGGTAATATAAAATTACAGCGATGTGCTGACGTCATTATTACAGGTAATATAACATTACAGCGACGTTCTGACGTCATTGTTACAGGTAATATAACATTACAGCGATGTGCTGACGTCATTGTTACAGGTAATATAACATTACAGCGATGTGCTGACGTCATTATTACATGTAATATAACATTACAGCGATGTTCTGACGTCATTATTACAGGTAATATAACATTACAGCGATATTCTGACTTTATTATTACAGGTAATAATATCATTACAGCGATGTTCTGACGTCATCAGTAATAGAGCGATACAGCGTTCTAGAGATCTTGGTAATATATCAATAGAAAATTTCTGTTTACATAGATAACAGAGGAGAATAAGCACATGCTATTAAAATCTCGTTATTCTCAGTAACGGAACGTCTGTAGTACCTCTTGGGAAAGTTAAATGGTAGTATGATAATTGTACCTTATCGTTCTAGTTCCCGTTTTGTGTATGTGTAGTAGGATATTTGGTATTCAGTGTGCAGAATCACAAGAGTATTGCCAGTATCGCAGTAAGACTGTATGGAATCTGTGATTAATGGTAAGCCAAGCCTTAGATCTGAAATGTTCTGGGAGCTACAAAGGTCATTGACATTATTCAAAATGAGGAGATTTACTGGTCAGTCATGTACCGTTGGGTACTTTCGTCCTTGTGGCTTGGTAGATACGGTCATCAATGCTGCAAAGTAAGATCTAATCATCGTGCTTTTAACCCACAACGGGATATATATTTTGAATCAATATCTGACCGGATATCAGGTGTCCGTTAGTCACAACATGCAAAAATATGACTTACCCTAGAGTCATAGATATCCAGGTAATTGATTCCTGCGTGTTTGCCAGCTATAAAGGCTGCCAGGTTAGCTGTATAACTGGCTATCACAAATATACAGGCGAAAGCCCAAAAGTTCTGCATAACCTTACTCGGCCACGACTTTGGTGACTTGGTTCGAACCGTGTGACCAAATAGCACCGAATACACCATAGTTAATCCGGAGGCTAGCGTGTAATTCTGTTTTCGTTTCCGACCCCACGGATTTAATCCAAAGGGACTATTCCACTCGAAAAGTGCAATGGCAATAGCACCAATGGTAGCACTTACAAAAATTGCAACCCACACTTCCGGTGCAAAAGGTTCAAGAAATGCATGCATACGGGTATGACGTTTTCTTTCTGAATAGAGAACTGAAAAACCTGAGAAAAAGTATGGGTGAGTAAAGTCGATGACCTTTAACCGACTGCGTGTAATACTGAAGGCAGCAACGGCCATATGAGCTGACCCTACCATCAGATCTTTGACCATACCATTCCAACTTCCGTTTATCTCTTTCCCATATGTGACGTCACCAACGATGTACAACGTGTAGTCGAAGTCGAGATCTCGCGAGAGCCTGTTAAGTAGGTCTATTGCAAGGCCTCGACAACAACGAACCTCGTACGGGTTACTCTTGTTTAGTCTTCCACTCTCGTAATCACGAATGACCTTAATGGTAGCCTGCTTTTCCTTTGTGAATATCTTTAAACAGACGGTATCCTGAGCACATCCGTCATAATCCGGATGTGGTTTTTGCTCCATGACGAAAGGTTTCACGGGATTTGTGACAATGCGATACCGCTTCTTGCCATTAAAGATCTGATTGGAGATGGTCTCGCTTGGCCATACAATGCCGAAAGGGTTAATATTGTGTCCTCGAATAAAGCCCATGTCCCGCCACACCTTGTTACGGCCGCTGGTTACTAGGTTCCGGATATCATAGTTAGAGATGTTTATTGAACCGTCTGCCTCGAACTCTAACGTTCCCGTCAGTCCATCGAAATGTGTCTTCGTTATTTCTCTGGAAACACACAAACAAGAACCAAAGTCAAATTAATGGAAATGTAACATAATGTAAAATGTTACCAATATACACACAACAGCTGAAGTAAGAACTATGTTCTCAAATGGAATATTTCTATAAAAAGTTCCCAAATTACCAAATAACTGTAGTAAATATGATTGTACAAAAGACACACAAGTGAATAGTATCTTTGATACAAAATTAGTTTGATGCAATAGAACCAAACAATGAATTAAACTGCATCATACAGCTGTTTCGCCCTTTTAAGATTCGTTAGTGATGCTAAGGGTCTGAATTTGGATGTCTAGGAGCGATCTAGGGAAATACAAAGTGATTGAAAGAAATGAATGGATCGAGTGGTACTCTAGCCCACAATTCAATGAATTTCTCTGACAATTTTAGAACAACGTCAAGTACACGTGTTGATTATGAACTGTGCCACCTTTCTAGAGAGTTAAATCGTGACATGCAGGTTACGGTATACCACTGCCAATCTTAAAGATCGCACAAAAAATATAGAAATTTAGTTAGACACAGTAGAGCCAAACAAACTAATTATATTGCATCGCACAAAAGATATAAATGTGAAAATTTAGTTAGACACAGTAGAGCCAAACAAACTAATTATATTGTATCGTACATCTGTTTCGACCTTCTGGGACATGTCAGTGATGTTAAGGGTCTAAAGTTTGACTGAAGAAAATCCAGTGATATATTACATCTAGTCCATGTTACAGACAAGAAAAGTTGAAAGTTTGAAATTGTAAGAAATAACTATTTATTTCTGTTGGTTTTCAAATACGTTCTTTGAAAAAAACAATGTATTATTTTTATATGTGTATTCTTAATGTCAGAAGAGGTATGTATAAGCCGTTGTTAATAGATTTATATATATATGTGTATTTAAATAACAAACATATTGTCTTTCCGAATGCAGTGCCACCGAATACTCCTGACCATATCCATTTGCGTACAAATGTACGGAGACGATCTCGATTATAGAAGAGAATTCGTTGGGTAAGTTACTAGCACGAGTAGTAAACTCGACAATTGTTTAACACTTAGGTTCTGTAGCATGTGTTTGTAGTGCCAATTGCATCTACCGCAGCCAGGTGTTACATGGATAGGAGCGATTTCGTGTTTCCAGAGAAATGTCGGTTTCAGATGACTCTACAGAAAGCAATATTGTAATATGAGTGAAACATTGTTGTAAAATAAGTAATAATTGTGTAAAGGGATTAGTTTTCATAAATTTCGTAGGCTCTCTTAATCTACAAATTGTTGTGTCCATCAATTGTTAAAATAAGTGTAAGAATACTTAGCTATATCAATCCATGTCATTAAGTACCTTCCCTCATCAGATCACAATTCTAGATAAGTACCTCCCCTCATCAGACCATCATTCTAGACAAGTCCTTTTTAAAACAGGTTTTCTGTACTGTGATTGACCTACATTTACAAGCCGAGTGTCACCGATGAAGCTGTGGACATTTACTGTCAACAGCACTTGATTTTCTCCTTGTCATTTTCAATGGTCCCGGATTAAACATCTCCTTTTTTCATAGTTGCCCTCTTTTGGTCTGTTTGAATTTCGATTTTAGTAACACAATGATAATTTCTTGTCACTTTTGACAGTAAGGACAGTTAGACTTGACAATCCATGTTGTGCGGATTAACCTCTCTTCTCCGACCGTATCAATTTGTTAATCCGGAACCATCGTCAATATACCGATAGCGATTTGTCAAATACACAATTAAATATCCAGCTTCCCTTTATTTGAATGCTTTCATCCAATCGTCCTGTATATTTAGTTTTAGGATCAATATTCTAGACATCACTGTGACGTGTCAGTGTGGCATAATATTGTGGAATAGCTGATAATGTCGCAATGGCTGTGCTTCTAACACTCCTAGCATTTCTCCAATTTATTTTTCAATTTAATTTAGAAAAGTACTTTAAGCGGTGACTGATACGTAGAACTGTTTGCTACATTGACAGTGTTGCATTGATAGAAAATTAAACTCCAAAACAAACGGTGATCAAAGGAAAAACTAAATCTGTGATACAACGGATGTCACAAATACAGGAACTTAAATTCACATATCTCCGCAAATGCCATAATGAAGACAAAAGTATGGTATTCTTTTCTCCATTTTGTTTCTCGTTTTCATATTTGTTTTTTTTGATGTGTTTAATGACCACGATTAACATTGCAGTCGTCGTCGACATTGTTTGACCTTGCTGTACAAGAGAATGAAACCTATTAATATGAATTTAGAAGTAGGTACAACAAAGCAGGCGAAATTGTATCATAAAACTGCTTTGTTCTTGACGCTAAAGGCCTAAAATTGAAATTTAGGAAGTGACTGAGAAAATTTAATGTGATCGAAAAAAGGTCAAAATCTGTATAGGAAGGTGTAGTACCATTTTCATTCGATAGATATTGCGCAATTTTATACAGATTGTTGACAAAATAAGTGACTTTGGATGCTGAAATAAAAATAAAATAAAATAAAAAAAATCCAGCGACACTTGACGCTATCATAAAATGAGTGATATTGGACGCTGATGTTGGCCGACAATGTGAATTTCGCCAGAACACTGACGTTCGTCGGTGAGACGATACCCGGACACGGGAGGAGTCGTGGTGACGAAAAACATGTCTACCAACCCAACCCAACCAACCAACCGACCAACCCAACCCAACCCAACCAACCAACCTACCGACCAACCCACCCAACCCAACCAACCAACCAACAACCAATGCTGATGTAAAACGAATTATATTGGACGCTAATATCAAACAAGTGACACTGGATCCTGATATAGAACGAGTGACAATGGATGCTGATTATAATCGAGATGAGTTGTATGGGAGCTGTGTATACATCATGATTTGTTTAGCATGGCCAGAGGTTCTTCCACAAGTAAGGCTGTTTTACGTCGATCACCGTTCATTAGAAATAATAAGTGTTTGGAGATCGCGTTACTACGACAATGATCAGGATTGACTCTGCAACAATCTCTCGACTGATCACCGAAAATAATGGGTTGAATTTGACTCCGGTATCCGTCATTATAGAAATAGACAGCAGCACTGACCATTAATACATTCACATCGAGGTTATTTGGCGGTGGCAAATGTATTGGTAAATTAGTTTTACGAGAGGAAAAGAGCATGTCAATAGCTATTGATCGTTTACGACTGATACTGGTCAGATTCTGCCTGTATGTCACCCGGAACAAAGTTCACGAGTAACGTGATGTTCTGCATTACCATTTAAAACATTTCCCCGTAGTAATGTGTTGAGCGAAACAAGGTATATGTAGAAACACTAACATAATTAGATTCGTATTCTTAATGTTTAAAAACGAGGATTATTTCCAATAAAACTGGTTGTGAACTATTCTGAAGTGCTTTTCCTCGACAAATATGTCCAAATCAAAGAAGAAACATACGGAGAACGAAATCATAAAAATCATCGAGTGTCTGGTTGACAACATCTTCGTCTAACTTGGTGGTAAGATATTCCATACGAATATTGGCATAATAAGGGGAACTAACTGTGCCAATCTGTTGGTTAATTTGTCTTTGTTTTCCGAAGAGGCTGAATTTTATCGACGAACCTATCGAAAATGGTCGCAAAGACATTGCAAAGCCGTTTATTTTCATTTTTAGATATATTGATGATGTCTTGTCTTTAAAAAAAAATATATATATATATATATATATATGAATAAAAAATAAAATTATCCTGTCCATAGTAAATACCCACCAGAAATGGAATTCTGGGATACGACAGACTGCAAGTATCTCGATCTTTACCTACAACGAAAGATTTCCATCCTCAAGCTATGTGATAAGTGTGATGATTTCAATGTCTTGTGAACTTTTCATTCCTAGATAGCAACATCTCTGCGTCCCCAACACACGGTGTTAACATGTCGCAGTTGATAGTCAATGACCTGGTCTTGTTATCACGAATTTCGTGCAAGAGGTCGTCAACTGACGGACACACAAGGTTTTAAAAGATGAAAATCATGGAGGTATTTTACGGTCGTCATAGAGAAATATTCTATTTGTTTGTGTGATAAGAACCTGGACGTGTTTGATGCTCGTTAGTTTGTCTGTTGGCTCGATTGCTGTATACCTTGATTTCATTTGAGAACGTTACATTACTAACTTGGATTGACCAATATTTACATGGCCGATGAAGCAGAACAATTTTAATTTTATCAGATTGAATTATCTATGTTTCTGAATCCATCTAACGACTTGTTCATTTTAGATGTTTGTTCTGTATATGATAGTAGAGAATTAGAGATGTTTGTGTTATTTAGTATTTCATTTTCTACAGTAAACTGGTCAAAACCCGTATCATAAAACGCAATCTCGCGCAACTTCGAACACCTGCAGGGATTGGATGTGTAACTTTGCACTTTCACTAAAAGAAACAAAAGCGATTAGAGAAAAATGAAGCATCACAATGCTTTATAGAAATCCCTTGTCGTGCAATGTACTCAGCATAAGCCTGTCACTAGTCAATCGGGCGTTGATTAAATGAAAGCCAGGCTTTGTTCAAATGAAAGTGATAATAGCCCACAACTGGGCCTTGGTAACTACACTGGAGTCGGAATGCCGTGCTTGTCTTCAACAATCTCGCAGCGGAAATGTCCTGATTGATTTAACGAGACCAATAATCAAATAATGTATTTTATTTGAAAACAATTTATCAGAATTTAGTTTTTAATCCGTACGAATGGTTATTACCCTCAACATTTCCAGACAATATTTTTAGGGTTACGACGTTGTAAACGATAGATTAGCGTGCGGATGGTGTTTTATGTTTGTTTCTACGCTCTACGCTGTTACGTGAAGTTGGACGTGTTTGATGCCCGTTAGATTGCTTGTTGGTTGCTTGTTCTCATTTGAGAACATAACATTATTTACTTGGATTGACCAAGGGTTACATGGCGTGTGTCGTTAAGGAATCAT